TAGAGTGCTGTGGCAAAGACAACAGGGATCAGAATTGGTTAAAAAAAAAAATGTTGGAGAGGAGGCATATGTGACCTCCAGCTCACAGCACTCAGCTATGGATACTGGCAACAGGAAGTTTGCTGAGGAGGTCTGAGTTAGCACTAAGCCATTTCTACAGAAGCCTTTAAGGACTCAGGAAGTAGTGGTGGCAATAATAGGGTGACAGCTGAGAGCTGTACCACTCTTAATTTCTCGAGGGCCCGAAACATTTTCTTAGAGCAGTCAGTGGAAGTTGTTTCCTTGGCACCAATTTGGAAAGGCATTGTCTTTGTTCATGAACATGTTAGTATAATTATGTGGGGTGGTTTTTATTTTTTAGGTTTCAAATGTCATAACTGTAATAAATCTATATTTTCTAAAGGGAAAAAGGTAAGATGTATATTTAAAAGCTGCATTTAGTCACCCTATTTCTCATGGACCTAACATATTACCAATCAGTTTTTAGATACAGTGTGTTAAGCAAGATACTTAAAATCAGTGTGTTTTAACCTTCATGAAATTGTAGATGTTTACATGTTTATGTGAAACTTTACACCAAAATAGATTAGCACTGTCAAATGGAATGTCCATATGTATATATTTTTTCAAGAAGAACATACTGCTGTTGCAATATCCCTAATCTATTTTTAAGTACTGCTTCTCACAAAATCCAGGACACCCTTACCTACCCTCTCCACACTCCTCTTAAGGTATGGAAAGAAGTTAAGACTTCCATAAAGAAGTCAGATAATTTTCATTGCATACAACTGTTATTTCATTAAGCAATATCTTCAAAGGTTTCAATCGACTCTGAAAAAATAATTCATTGCTGCATTGCTTATTCGGTCTCCAGGACTGTTTTGCATTCAACCAAACTCTGCTTTAGTCACTAAGACCGTGTGTATTTTAAACATTATAGTATTAATGTAAGTTTTAAAAGAGAAGACATTTAAGACATATAAACAGCATTGTGTTTAATAAAACTTCTGATAAATTGCTGAATATTAATACAAGAATTAAATATAAGGCAAATCAAAAGAGACTAGCACAAGGTTGAAAAGTACATTATGTACCTAGAACCTAAAAGATTCTCACTATACAAGTGCTAAATCTTCTCAAATCTTGAGAAGCAGCTTGGTATCCATCTAAAAACAAGATGGATAGGATTGTCTTTGGGATTCCAGTCCTGAGATAGTTTATTGCCTGGCAGATAAATGCAAGTGGGATTAACTGAAGGGCGGAGAGATAAATGGCTTGGTGAGCCTCGCCTTTCTTGTTTCTCACTCTTTGATCCTCGAACCAGTGTGCGGCTGCCTTGCTTGTTTCTGTGCCTCAACTTACAGGCTACACTTGTGGGATGCCTAGCCTGTGAACTGTGTCACTACTAAGTTGAAGTCCCTTTAAGGCATCTCTGGAGCTGGGGACTGGCGGTTGGTGACCTGCCTTGTGATTGGCTGCTGGGCTGACATAGCCTAGCTCGCTCTATATATAGAGGAAGATCTGGCAGTAGACTAGACTTGAAGGACTGCTAGTGTCTCACAACTCTCTCACGGGAGTGAGTTGCACTGAGCCATTTGTACTTCATAATTTAACTGTTCATTTCTTGTGTTATATATCTAATTATCTTTATAAATAAATATATTAAATTATCAGCAATTTGGTTTTGTCTCTCTAGAGAACCCTGTCTAACACAAGTCCAGAAAAACAAATGTTTTTTTTAAACCATTCTATAAACTAAGTGACCTAATTTATATTTATAAATGCACACCCTTTCACCTATAACCTAGGATCAAAGTACACATATAACTGAAAAATACAATGAACAAGAGAATTAACACTTGAAGAAACAAAAAATACTCTCTTAGAAGAGCATGTAAATCAGTTTAGCCAACATGTGTTATTGTCGGGTGCTGGGGGAAAAAAGTCTATTCCCCATCCCCGCCCTCCCCAAAACACACAAAATCTCAAGGAATTAATAGTCTGTACCAAACTCTGTTCTTTACAAAAGTGGACTGCCACATTTTTCTCCCACAGAGCAGCAGGTGGATTCAAACCATTGACCTTTCGGATAGTGTTTAAGCCTTTAATCATGACATCACCTGGGCTCCCTCACAGTCTGAGAAGGAAGATAAATATGGACATATTATAGTGCAATAAATCCAAAAAGGCTACAGACATGGCTCAAAAGAAAATAAAGAATTTGTTCAGGGGTGGAGGTCAGAGGTTTCCTTTAAAGTGGAGGAAGGCTGACAGGCAGATCCAGTGGGACAAGAGGACATCTGGGTGACACATGTGTAACTGAAGTCTGAGGAGGACTGGTCCAGAAAAGAAAACATCTCAAGGAAGGCAGAGTAAAGGCACAACTAAAAGAGAGAGCAGTTTCTGTTTTTGATCACAGCAATAAAGCAGATATTACAACAATTTTTTATTTCCCATTACATGTAAAGGTTTTGTCTATACTACCATGCAGTCTGTTAATAGGAGCCCTACTGATATAGCATAGTTGGCTATGCACTGAGCTTCTAACTACAAGGTCAGTGGGTCAAACACAACAGCTGCTGTGCAGGAGAAAGATAAGGCTACTTACTTCCATAAAGACTTAAAGTCTTGGGACGAGTAACAGAAATGTGGGTGAAGGGAGACCATGAACAGCGTTGAGATATGAAATAACAACAACTTATCATTTACCAAGGATTCGCTGGGGGGTGTGTGAAGAGGAGCTATTACAAGGGCTCAAGTAGGAAATGTTTTCAAAATGATGATGGCAATATATGTACAAATATGCTTGGCACAACTGAGGTATAAGAGCTGTAAGAGCCCCAATAAAAATGATTTTAAAAAAGACTTAAAGTCTGGAAAACCCAAAGGGGGCAGTTCCACCCTGTCTAATAGGGTATTATGGGTTGAAATTGACTTGATGGCAGTAAGTAGTTGTTGTTGTTGTGTAGTCTGTTAGGCGAAAAAATTTTAAATACTGTGAGAATTAGAAAAAGTTTGAAATACTGTACTGTGAGAATTACCAAAATGTGACACACAACACTAAGCAAGCACATGCGGTTGGAAAAATGGTGTCAACAGACTTCCGTGATGCTGGGTTGTCCAGTTCGTAAAGAAGTCAGTACCTGAGATAGTTAAGGTTTACTGTGCCAATAAACACATGTGGGATTAACTGTAAGGCGGAGAGATAAATGGCTCAGTGAGCCTTGCCTTTCTAGTTCTCAGGTCTCTTGCCTTCTGAGGGTCGGACCAGGGTGCAGCTGCCTTAACCATTTCCCTGCTTCAGCTGGCAAGGCTCACTTTCTGCAAGACATCCCGGAGGAGAAGCCACATGGACCTACCCTGATGCAGCCCTGGGTGCTAGAGCAGCCGTGTGGAGACCCCTGCCAGTGCTGAGATGTGAGCTTACATGCTCACTGACTCGGCTTTCCTTCTGCAGTCAGCATCATTGCATGTGTTACGTGAGATGGAGGACTTTGTAGATAGGTGTTGGACATATGGGCTAATGTTGGGCTTATGGGATTGGACAGCCCTGGGTTGGGATGCTTTCTTAATGTATACTTACCCTTTATATAAAACTCTCTCTTATACATGAGTTTCTGTGGTTTTGTTTCCCTAGTTCACCCAGACTAGCACAGTACCTTCACTTCACAAGAGAGTAAAGTGGAATACAGCAGTGCCTGTAGTCAACTGTGTCAAATGGGCTGACAGATTAAACAGGATGAAGCAGAAACTATCACCTAGAGGTCCCTGTGACCTTTATGAGAGCAGTTTTAAAGAAGTGAGGGGAAGAAAACACTTGTGAAAAGGTCTGAGGAGAAAAAGAAGTGTGAGGATGGAACTAGCAAATATAACCAACTCTTAGAAGTTTTCCTCTGAGGAGAAGCAAAGCAATTCAATGGAACAGTACTGGAAACAGATGTGGGTCGAGATGGGAGAGAGTAAGGCAGGTTTTGTGCCAAAGCTCTTTATGCCAAGAAGGAAGGTGACATAAAGGAAACTGCTGGACCAACTAGGAGGTGTGAGCCTTTCAAGGGAAGGCAAAGTCTCAGGACTTGGGCTGTCGAAGTGGTGAGGTTGTTGAAGCAGGAAGGGAGAAATGGTTTGGGAGTCCCAAGAAGAACAAAAGAAGACCATCTGCCAAGGTCTAGATAAGATTGAGGATTGTAGGAATGGTGGTGTCTTCAAGTCCAGTTTAGTTAACGCCAAAAGATGAACTGTTCAGAGAAGTAGTGAGGTCACAGAGGTGACAATCTTGTTTCCCTCGTTCCTTTATCTGTTCTCAGCATCCGGAACAGACGGATTACAAAATACATGTCAATATGAATTGTCCATTAATCTTCATCTGGCACCAACAGGTTACATGCTACAGGGTACTAGATGGAACTTTAAGGTCTTTTTTGCTCTCTTATTTCAATCGCCATTGACAGTGGACAGGAAATAAACTAAAATCCTGCTTTAAATTCCAAAAGAGGACAAAACTGTATAGGACAATGTTAATGGAAGCTTGAAGTTCTTTTTAGCAATTCAAGCACAGATCTCAGAGCGTTAAATCCTAGAATTGTGTGTCCTTCCCTCTTACATGTTCTACTAGCTGATTCTTGTCTGAGTGGAATAGGCTTTAATTCAATTTCACGTGTCATTACACAGTGGCACCGCCATCTGCAGGGTCTATCTTTTCATATGTTAGCTTCTACTCATTTATGAATAATCATTTCCTGGGGAAGAATATGTGATCTGAACAGGCGTTTAGCAATTTCAACTAAAGATATCTAAGGACACCTATATGACTCATAATTGTAAGACAAACACTGTCTATAATACAAAAACAAAGTCTTCAGAATAATGACTGAGGGTTTAAGAAAATACTTGGAGATTACTTTATTCTAAGAGACATAAATTGAAACAAGAAAAAAAGAAAATGAAGTTCTCTGTTTAACAAAAAAAGCATGCCTAATTAAAAAAAAATCCCCACAATTTACCTCGATAGTAGGCCTTTGTTATTGCATCAAATTCCTCTTGACCTGCTGTATCCCATAACATTAGTCGGACATCTTCATCATTAACTCTGAAATGAGATGAATTTCTTTCAAATGTAAAGGTAAATGGTTTTAATAATTACACACACATATAAAATCTGTGGGTCATATTTCAAACTTGAAGGCATTAGAGTTCCATTGCTGGTTTCTCTAGGAACCTGTTTTGAGTACTTTCAAATGTTGAGATTGTTACCAACCACGAGTGGTAACCTTCACATGACTTAGATTTATCTGACAGGTTTTGTTTTGTTTTTCCTTTGATGATAGTGGTGGCTCTAAGAATAGCAGTGTTGGAAAGGGGAACTTCCTTAGGTCAGGGTTTGCTCCCCCTGCCTAGTCCAGTGTGGTGGGGTCTGGTGCCCCAGGTATAGAACAAAGTGGAGAAGAGTGAAAGGCAGCTTACCTGCTTGGATGCCATTGACTCAAATATTAAAATATTAATTTGGCGTCAGGTATTAAGTACCCTTCAAAATTGCATCCTGAACATTTTAAATATGCTCAAAGGAAGGAAGCAAATAAGGAAATATGCTTTAGGAGGGCAGAGAGATACAAATGAGACATTCAACAAGTCTTAAAGTCAATAAGCACAGTGATCCTCAACGCTCATGCCTGGACAAGCAAGCCGATTGATGGCGTGTTTCTTACTTCTCAACACAGACGGTCTCCCACAAATTAAATATGCTTAAAAACCGACCAGACTAAGGGCAAAAAGTTCTATTTTAGAATTCAGTTTGATTTCCTGAAGGATTTGCTTTTCAGAGTATTTAATCGGTCTTACATCTGTAATTCTCTGATTTGTCAAAACAAATTATTAATTCTTTGACTGCTCCATGGTCTTGTCCAGTGTGAGAGACAGACAGGGGCGGGGGGCGAGAGACAAACATTCGAAACACAAGAATCCCTTAATATGAAAGAGAAAAAACTTCATTTTGAGAGACAGGTATTTTTTCTTACAAATGGAAGAGTGAGTGGAAATCTCACTAGAATCAAACATTAGTGTGTGTTTAAGAAGAGCTCAAGAGCCACTGACAAATATAAAACAAATGTAAGATAGGGGAAAAGAGCTGTAAAGTACAAAAAAGATAGAAATAAATGAGTTGAAAAAGACGAAAGAAAAACACACAAAAATGAAAGGAGGATAAAGACAGACACAGGAACGAACAATTAAAATTCATCACCCACTATCTCATGAGTCACTGCCACTGGCTGCCAACCTTGGACTGCAGTGAAATTAGTCTTTCAGTGGAAGTCTTGGACAGAGTTCACAAGTCAAAACCAAAGGGCTACAATGACCAGATACATACTGGATTTGTCGCTCCAAAAAGTCAACTCCAATGGTTTTCTTGTAGTCCTTTGTAAAAAGGCCTTTGCAGTATCGCTGGATCATGCTTGATTTTCCAACTGCCCCATTCCCTACCACCACCATCTTGATGGCCACTTCCAGATCTTCCTCCAACATTTTTGAGGTTAAAAGTTTCTACACCCTCTTAAATTCCAAGTGATTAGATCTTCTCTCAAATCTGTGTGAAAATGAAATTATTTTTCATGACATGAAAACTGTACAAAGTAAAATAAGCCATAATTGTTTCATCAAGAATGAATCATATTGCGTTGCAAGACCCCATAATGGAGGTCTCCCTCGAACCCCTTCAGACGTGTTCTTTGGAAGAAGGATGAAGAATACCATTCATTTTCTAATCCTTCCCATTACAGTGTCTGACATCCAGGCATCAAGAAAGTCCTAAATCCACATGGCTCTTCCTTCCACGAAGACATGACAGTCAGAGTTGAGGCCTGATTAAAGGCTGCCCTGACTAGTTCTACATTCTTAAGTTACTGCTTCACTTCTTTATGCTTCCGTTTCCTGGGAGCATTATCTACATCACAGGGCTTTTTATTAATGACACAAAGAAAGAACATATAGAACAGTAAGTTAAATACTCTTGAAATACCACACTTACTTACAATAAATTCAAAATTTAGTCATGAAAGTAATAGCATGGGCAGTGTATTGTAGTGCAGTGTAAGGTGGGGGGACCAGGCCCCCACCACTAGTCACGGGTTCAGTAAGCACAATTGCACAGTTAGATGTATAAATATTATATTAAAGTCATCGAGAGCATGAGCGATAGAAGGGATATTACAATAATGCAGTCAGGCACATTACATGGTAGCATTGCTCTCCTCAGCCCTGTTGGGTGGTCCACGTGGAGAGAGGGGGAAGGGAAGGAGGGCAAGGGGAAAAGGAAACGGAGGACTGGAAAGGAGGGGAAGAGAGAGGAGAGAGGTCAAGGGAGGGAGAGAGAGATCTCTATTGCTAACCCAGGCCTATATATCTTTTGGGGGATGTGCAAGCCCACTAATTAGAGGTAAAGACATGCATCACGGGAAGGGGTTGCACCATAGGTTATACAGCAACGAGTGGGGGTGGTCTAGGGACATGCACGCAATAGGAAGAGGAGGGATTGGGGGGTACACATGTGACAAGATGGGCAGATCCTGGATTTAGGATGGCAGCAGAACTTTGGATGTCACAGAGCTGGTTTGACTTGTTCCCAAGCTCAACTGATAGAGACCATTATCCGTAGGGTGTGAACTCTACCTGCAGGAACCAAATAGATGACTGCAGGCCTGTTCATCATCTTTAACAGCAGGGAGCGGGGCCTACTGCAGTCTGGCACCCTCAGGGAGGATGCCTGAGCATCTGACCTCCCCCCACATTGTATGAAAGCAATAACATGCGCAGTGTGGGTATTTGAAATGAATGTAATAGCATGGCAGTGTGTGTACTTTAGATGGAAGGGAATAAACAATTTCTTTACATATTTTCTTAAGCTTACTAGTTAAGCTCCATCACATTGTGCTACTGTTTTCTAACTACCTTAACTGAAAATTCATCAACACAATCACTTTACAAAACAATTCTAAAATGTGAAGAACATTCTTTTTCCCTAGTGGAGGCTCAGCACTGTCCCGTGTGTTTAACCACCTTCCCTAACTAAGAAGCATCTAAGAGTACTAGTTAAAGCACAGGCTGAGGCTCTAGTGAATCAGATATAAATCAAGCAGCAGATATGATTCATCTGATAGTTTATCATACAATCTCAGAGGAAGGGCCTCAGAATCTGCTATGCAAAACAAGCTTAAGTGTGTCCTTAGTGCTCCTGCAAGTGAGAATATGCCTCAAGAAGAGTTGTCTGGCTGCCTCCCGCTGCCGCCCCTTCAGAATCCTTTGTCCTGCCCACTCACATCACCCAGGTCATGCTCCTTAGCCTCCAGCTGAAGATTGAGCACAGAGGGCACAATAGGCGAGCTCTGCTCTTGGGGGATCCGTCTTTGTTCTGGGCTCCCCTTCAAACTGGCTGAGATTTTCTCAGTTGCACTGTAGAGAGGCTTTTCCCAGCCACGCTCCCTTCCCTTCCTCTCCCATTTCCTAGGTGTCAAACTAGCAGGGTGACCACAAGGCCCTCCCTTTTATCCTTCACAAGTAGTACCCCCACCCCACCCCCACCAAAAAGACCCCAAAATTAACCTGCTTACTGTAATTCTGACTTGGCATCTGCTTCATGAGTGATGAGCACTTCCCTCCCCCGGCCCAAGAGATCCTTACAATCAGATAATTTCTTAAAGCATTAAGCTTAGTCTAATGGTTCTCAATTTTGGAGATACACTATCACCATTTCTTGCTCACTGCCATCGACAACTCTGACTCACAGCCACCCTATAGTGTGACAGAGTAGAACACCCTGTGAGTTCCTACACTGTACCTCTTTATGGGAGTAGAAAGTCCCATCTTTCTTCCACAGAGGGACTAATGGTTTCAACTGCTGGCCTTGTGGTATGGTTAGCAGCCTAACACATAACCACTATGCCACCAGGGCTCCTATAATCACTTAGAAATCTTAAAAAATATGTTGATATCTGGATCCTATCTTCCAAGTACAGAATTTATAGGGTCTAGGTCTAGGTGTCCCTGGGTGATATGAATGATTAAGTACTAGACTACCAACCAAAAGGCTGGAGAGTCAAACCCACCCAATACCCTGAAAGCAAGGCCTGCAATCTGCTTCCAAAAGGTTTAACAGTTGATACCTCTATGAAACACAGGTCTATGCTGCAAATGGGGCAGGGCAGAGGCAGAGAACTACTTAATGTGGCTCTTCTCGCCAGTCTCTAACTATCACCAAACGATCTTTCCCTACAGGGGTCTGGTAAGAAGGCGGGGAAAGACACTGATAGGATTCACCTGGGACGAACTGTGAACAGGATTCCCTAGAATCCCATGCGGCTGTGTATAAAATAAACCCTCTGAGAAGCAGGGAGAGGGATCTCATTACTAGCAAGAACCAGGAGCGGAGTTTGTCCTCTGGACCCAAGATTCCTGCATAGCAAACCTTCTGGATCCAGAAGACAGCTGTAACATCCTGAAGCAGCAGAACCAGGTGCCAGAGCTTGGTATAGAGTGATAGTTTTCCTAACCCAGGGAGCAAGTAATGTGAGTGTTTTCATGCAGGAAGCTGTCTTGCCGAGCGGGGGTGCCTCTGGGCACTTTACTGTAAGGTGACCAGATTTTAACATTGGTAAAGCGGGACACCATTGATAAAACTCATATCCTGGCGAAATAGCCATATAGCAGCCGAAAACCGTATACCCTAGCTTGTCGTGCATTCTTTCCAAAAATTGGGACTTTTTTAAAACGTGCGGGACGCGGGGGAAAATTGTTAAAAATTGGGACTGTCCCGCCAAAAGCGGGACTTTGGGTCACCTTACTTCACTGGGGAAGTTGAGCTTGCTGACCCACTGAGTAGTGGGGCTGAGTAGTGGTTCTGGCTGAGGGTTTGGTGTGAAGTCCCTCTGGGTATTTAATTCGGGCAGGTGGTTTGCTGACCCACTGAGCTTAAATTGAACTGAATGCCTTGGTGCAGAGGATTCTGCCCCTTTGAGCATTTATTAGCAGACCTGAAAGAACTTGGCAACATGTCCTAGTAAACAATTAGCTACAGCATTTCTCACTGGCATTACAACTTAACTGTAATTGTAATTTTTGTCTGTGAGTTCTGCGTAACCACTGCAATGGATATTAGAACCGAAAGGTCAACTGGAGAACAGTAATTAAGAGAACCTATCACCATGACTCAGAGTGGGCTCAACAGTAAGAGTGCAGCTTGCCTCACTCTCCCAGCCAGGGTGCTATCAGTGGGTGTTCTCCTAACAGGGAAGCCAGAATTCCCACCCCTACCCTCTCCAGGCTGGGTTTTAACTGAGAGCCAGCAAGAAGACTGTAATGGAGGGTTTGGGCTGCTAAATGCATGATTATCACTTTAAATCCACCAGCTGCTCTGCAGGAGAAAGATGAAGCAGGCTGTCAATAGTAACAATAAGGGTACAACTATCCTGCATAAAGGATTGGTCTTCAAGCACTTGATGTCACATCTAAGTCTTACTTTGATCTGACTCTTAGATCCAGCTGTGTCTCACACCCTCCCCCAGGCGGTCTCTGATTTCAGCCTTACAGACCGAAAATGTCTTTCCACCTAAATAGTTCATCACCACAGTATACTGTAATGTTAAAAAGAAACAATAACCCAAATCCGACTGCATTTTGACTCTTAAAGACTCAGTACAAAGTATGCTTGATACAGCTGATGTATGGAATGTTATAAGAGCTGTAAGAGCCCCCAATAAAAAGGATTAAAATTAAAAAAAACTCAGCACATTAAGGGTCCTAGGTGATACAGGTGCCCTGAGCTCAGCTGGTAACTGAAAGATCAGGGGTTCAAACCCACCCAATGGCATCACAAAAAACCCCGGCCTGGCTTCTAAAAGATTATTGCCACCCCCATTCCACAGCCAACAGTGTTTCTTCAAATAAACAAATAAAATCAAAATGGGAGGTCTTAGAACCTTAAGAGATTAGTCACTGAAAAGGAGAGTGGAGGTGGCACACCTCCAGTGGAGAGGCCACGAGACCCATGGACTATCACAGCGGAGAACTCATCAGGCTTACTTTTCCATATTTGAGGACACTGCAAAAAACTCCTATTAAAAAAAGCAATGAAAGGTAATGGAATTCTCCCATGAACCTGTGGAAGTCCCCTTGCATATGCCAGACAAGATAGGGGAAAAGTTCATCAATAACCAGGAGACACTAAGGAGCACAGACAAATAAAAGCCCTATGACAAACCTGTTTTTTCTTGCCAATGCACCAGGGAACAGAGAGCCTCACAAAAGAAAACAAAAAACTGCCAAGCAATAAGTGTCCTGCGTAAGGCAAGGAAGGAAAAGGCTATGGTCTGCAGCCCACCTACTACACCAGCACAGACCCAGTAGGAAGCTTTCACTTTAACCTTTGTGAGGATATGACGACCTATGCCCTACTCCCCAGACAGGGGTATCAAAGGTGGCCAAGGACACTGTGACTTCCTTCCCTTTGGGAATTAACAATGGGAACCATCACTCTTGATTTTCAAGTGGGGAACCAGGGCTTCCACTATACCAAGTAAGAGAATAACGCATCCC